TCTCAGTGCCTGATTTGCCTGCTGAAGTAAGAACACATAATCTTCAAAGGAAGGCTCTGGGATTTGGAGTGGGTACAGGTTTACACATATGACATTGAATACAGAACTGTAAAATTGAGGAACAAGAAAATTAGACAAATTGTTAAGAAAAATAGCAAAACAAATCGGTTCCCAAATTGTTTCCATTCTGGATTGCACTTCTCCAAGCATAGTGTGGATGTGGTGATGATCTTCAGAGCTCTAGAGGGAATGATGAGGGGAAGGGGCAGACAGGGGAAATGAAAATGTCCCTTAATTAAGAAATATTTGCAAAGAAATGAAAGTGACAAAAAAATGTACCATATGGGAATGCTTGAACTGAAAAGTTCAATAACTAAATTGAAATTTTTAATTCATAGGTTTAATAGTATATTGGAACAAGCAGAGGAATCAGTGAAACTGAAGGCAGATTTATAGAGAAGTATAAATGTACACATCTTGGCATTGCTTTGCTTCTATGAAGCATGTAAAAATTATACCATATGTACTTTGCTGTTGTTTAGTTTTCTTAAATAATTTTAGCATAACAGCTTTAATATCATAAGGCCACATTTATTTTAAAAACATTTTTGATATTCTGAGCACTACCCAGACATAAGGCACATGGATGGAGTTTTTTCCTTTTTTTCAGCTTTTTTCTAACTGAAATTAACTTCTTTTCCCCTGAGTTTTCTGGAGATCATGAGCATATTGGCCTGCTAACAGTATAAGATAGACATTTTTTCCCCACATAATTAGAAAGACTGAGTTTAAAACTTTCTTTTAATGCCTTTATTCCCGTTAGATCCCAGCGCTCTCTCAGAGCGTTGCCCTTGCATGCAGAAGCCAGGATCAGCTCTCATCTGCGCCATTGCTTATCACCCCTTTCCCACAGAAAACAGAAGAGTTGGCTCTAGGACAAGTCTAAGCAGACTACATTAGGAAAGAGGATCTCTAAGCGGACCCGCATCTCTGCCCTGTAGGTAACAGCAGTGTGTATGAAGGAGAGCTGAGAGACATCAAGATGATAATCGACCAAAGCTAGAAGGACCATGCTTTCTTGGGTGTTGCCTAGTAACTATGCTTGAGAATTAAAGTTCATCCTTGTAAGGAAACATAGAACTACAGCTTGAGATCCATTCCAGTAGCTTTGTAAATTTTGACTGAATTGTCACAATGTCGTGCTAATTCTTGACTGACAGCAAGGTAGCTGGAATCCCAGAGCCTACTAGTCCTGTGACCTGAATATTTGTTCCATCCTTCCTTATAGTGAGGCCTTTACCAGGCATGTATCTGGAGTATTAGCACTTAAGATTAGAGCTGAATCTTTTCAGTCAGTAAATTAGTGTAGTGATAGAAACTTTACTGATTAGTTTTATGATTTTAGAGAATATTGACAAAGATACAAATCACTCAAGTTTCTTTTGAGGAAAGATCATATAAATTCTGTGAAATAGAGGAGGAAAAATATTCTTCCAGTTTTTAATAAGTCCAATTGCTGATTATAATAAAAGACACAATAAAGAGAACTGTATTGAGTGGTAGTGCACAGTTGTTACTAAAATTACAAATTAATTCAGTTTTCCTTTATGGGATAGTTAATAAAATTACCCTGTAATGAAATTAAGGGATGCTCCATCTTCTGCTGTTTGAGACAATACTAAATGAGAAGCTGTGGCCTAAGAACAGTAGCTAGGACTTCAGTTCCTCTCACAGTGTGGAATGGATCTAGTCTGTTCTCATTGGTTCATTGGCTTCTCATGGTGTTGCTGCTGTATGTGCCCAAGAAACACAATTGTGAAACAAAAGTTACCCTTTTTTTCTTGATCTCATGTCTACTTTGTTGTTCTCCACGAATGGTGGCATCAACTGTATTGCCTTGCCTTCAGAAATAGGACTGCTGTTGGAGAGAGAGGGCTCAGTGGTCCATTAGCTTGCTGCTCTCCCAGAAAGCCGCCTTTGTTTCCCATGGTGCTGGCAACCATCTTACTGTTGTTGCCCAGGATCAGAGTCCCCCTCCTGGCCTCTGTGTGCACTGCAGTACATGGTGCAGACAGGCTGGTATAACACACACATAAAATAAAAAATGAATCTTTTTAAAAAGTTTTTTAAAAATAGGACTGAAGTGAAAGCAATTTTTAATGTTTATGTTAATCTTCAGATTATAAGTCAGTATGATAGGTTTGGGTATTTTGAGGTTATATTACAAAAAGCATAATATTAAGTATAAAATGAAACCATAGCTTTCCCCGCCCCAGATTTTCCGATTCTGTTTAGCTTGCAGTTCAACTTTCCTCTTCCTCCTGAGGTCTTGTTGTGTTTCTCATCCTTTGTCACCTCCAAGGCTTTCTATTGCCACTCTGCGTGTTAGTCTAGCACCCGGCTTCCCTGTTTCCTATGCAGCTGACTGAGAGTTTCCTAAGAACAGGATGCAACTCCTCGGTGTTGGTAAAGGATGGGAGATGATGAGGAGCAGAAAAGGCTTTTCAAGTTTATACAGATATTCTCCCATCCTTTTTAAAATTTAGTGTACCCAAAGAAACAAGCACTCATTTTAAATAATGTGCTAAAGAACTCTTATGATTGTAAATCGCAAGACCCTGGACCAGTGCGCTGAGGTGGTCCCCATCTTTAAACTAGGAATCCACTTGGCCTAGAAAATCCTTGGAATTCTTGGCTACCAAGGAACTGAGGTTGACCTCTGAAGTTCCCATTTCAGCTCAGTAATTTCTCTTCAGATATGAAATCTAGTAGCAGCCAAATATAGACTTCTCCAAGTTTACAGGGAAGAACAATATGAACCAGGTATCTAATGAAAACAAAAGTCCTCCTCGCAGCTGCTGGTTTTTTTTAGGTTACCTTCCGTGACTTTGCTTTGTCAGGGTTTTCTTGCACATGCAGTGCTTGATTCTGCATTACATCATAGACTTTCTCTTCTCACAGTACCTGTCCTCAGTGCCAGATACACTCATTAGTCATACAAATCTGGGTTATGTTTTTCTAGGAAAATTAATTACTTTAGGTTGGCTACATATGGTTAGCTTGTCAGAAGGAAAATTTTAACATATTTTGGGGTGGTATAATGTAGGCATTTAACCAGCCTTTCTTTCCCCTTCCTCTTTGTGCATAAATAGTACATTAATCTATGCTAGGATTAACATATTTTGTAATACCTCACCATTGCATTGCACGGACACTAGAACATTGTGACTACACCTGCTTCCATAATCAATGGGGGCCAATGAAAAGCAGACATGTCATGGGTCATCCTTCACCGTTTGAGTGGCCATGATCACACAGCCTACATTTTAGTCTTCTTTGTTCTTCAGCACCCTAAAGATAATAAATTTAATTTGTAGCATCTGTACTGCCAAAATATGTGGGTGTATAACATTGCAGTGTTTCAGGATTAAACAGTAATCCTGGGAAATTAATCTGCTTGGGGTCATGCAATATATTTTAAGTCTAGTCAAATGATGTTATGAGAACTAGTCACAGTTTATCCCTACCTTTTGTGATAGAGCTCTAAAAGGATCATCAGTTCATGTATAGGAGTTAATTTTCTAATATAGTAACCCTTTCTCATTTTATATGTTTGTATTGCTTAACCTATAAAATACATTAAAAATACCTTTGGTGAGTCTACTTTCTTTTTATTCAGTTTTAAAACAAGGTGCTTTCTGTTTTATTTTTTTCCCCAGTCAGAAATTGCATACTAGTTGCCCTAATTTGGCTCTTCTAAGCTTGCTTATTGCATTGAACACATGTGATATGTCACATGACGGTAGATAAATTACTATGTGTGTTACTGTTGATGAGATGTCTAGCTGTATGAGGATTTAGCTCATCTGAAGATATTCATTCAAAGAAAATTAATTCAAGAAATAAATAATTCTCAGTCCTATTTATTTTAAATAACAATTTAAATGACATTATTATGAGCATATTATACTTTGTTGAACAATCCTGACTTTTATTATATCTGTGTTCCTACAGGGTTCATTTAACATTTTACCCTTTTCTTTAGGATCTTGGACATGAAACTTCATCTCTTCTATTCCTTTTATATTCTCTCCCTGTTCTTGCCTCAAACTTCCTTTGATTGTTGCTTGAACAACTTCAACAGTTTTACTATTACTGCCTTGTTAGGGTTACCAAGGTCTCATATTGCTAATGTATTTCATCAAGGAAACCATCAAACTGACTGAGGTTTTGAGTGGAGTTTTGCGTCATGGGTAACCAGAATAGAGGGTGTTAACTTAGGAAGAACTGGCTTTTGTTCTTTCTCACCATTAAGGCTTCTGTATCCTCAGCAGCAAAACCAAGTCTCCCTAGTTACCTTGGCATGTGACAGCCCTCTGGCTTTGTGCTACTCTGTCTTCTTGCTACGCCCATGTTTCCTAACTCTGATTCTGCTAATTTAGTATGTGTCAGGAGTCATTCTACTTTCTGTGTTTCTGAAGAAAGTCAATTTAGTACAAATTGGGACCTATTTACTCTCCCTCTATCTAACACACAGTGTTAGTCAGCAGGGCTTCTGAGGACAGCAATTGCTATTTGAGGCAAACAAACCTTTTTTAGACCTTTCTGAATATGTTTTAAACATGACCCAGTGTATTTCAGTATTGAACAAAGATTATTTAGTGATTCCGTGACTGCTTTGTAGTCTGTTTCCTTTGTGTTGTTACATTTCCTAAAACTTTTTTTTGTTTTAATGTTTATTTGATCGCTTAATTAAACTTCGCTGTTTCATTAAAGCTTTCTTTTCATTGCGTATCTGAATTTTTAATTTTGTTTTTGAAGAATGGCTGGATTCCTTACAGAAACAAGCAGAGCTCTTCTCTTCCTGCCATCAGTTTCAGGGGACATATTGCTTCTTCCGTACTGTCATACCAATAAATCATCCCAGATTACTTGCCGAGGTACAGTGCTGAAGTATACCATGCATTTTAAAGGAAATCTGCTATTTTCTTTTCAATCAGATGAGCAATGTGAAGAGACTCCGGCCACGGCTCAGTGCTATTCTCTTTAAGCTTCAATTTGAAGAGCAGGTGAACAACATCAAACCTGACATCATGGCTGTCAGCACTGCCTGCGAAGAGATCAAGAAGAGCAAAAGCTTTAGCAAGTTGCTGGAACTTGTGTTGCTAATGGGAAACTACATGAATGCTGGCTCCCGGAATGCTCAAACCTTCGGATTTGACCTTAGCTCCCTCTGTAAAGTGAGTTTGTTTTTTTAACACACATATTTGCCTGAACACTTACTTTTAAATGTCAGCCCTGATTACATTATTTAAATATTTTTATTTTGATGGGCTCATTATCAAGAACTTGAAATGAACCATGAACTCAAACCTAGAGCGAACTGAGCTAATTTACTCAACCTCTGAACTAAATCCAAATATTAATTTTCTCTGATCTGCAAATCCAGCGGAAGGATTTTGTTTAATAACTAAATTATATCCTAAACCTATGCTTTCTCAAACCAGTGAAATAGAACATCAAAATATTAAGCTTTATATTTATTTAGTTCAGGTACCATCATCTAGTTTATTGCTTAGGATTGTTGAATTTTTTGCTTTTAAGTATTTAAATATTTCTCTATGTTGTTTTCATATGCAGACTAAAAGACAAATAAGATTTCTTTATATATGAAAGAAAAGTATTAGAAATACATGTATTTCAGACCTCATTGATGAGTTGAAACTATTACAAAAACTGTGTGAGTTTAAATAATTCTTTATTGTTTTCTCCTGGTTTCTTTCAGCTTGAATTTCTTTGCAGCAAATGCATTCAGTGTTTTGTATAACAGACCACTTTTCTGGGGTGTGTGTCACTGTAATAATGCTTTAGTGATGTGCTTGCCACAAGTTATTCTCAGTTACACATCGCAAGAAACCTTACAGCATCTGCACTCTCTGGTTAAGGGATTTAGTTTTTACTATTTCAGGCTTGGTAGAGAATGTGAGAATCTGCTTCAGCTTTAGCTGTTGGTCAGTGGCCGTCTACATGGTGGCTTTAGAGTCACTTCACACTTCACACTTCCTGACCCCAGGCCTTCATGGACATCAGTGCTTCATTAACTCTTTCTTCCCCTCTTTTTTTCTTACTTTTATTGCCACAGCTTTCTATATTTGGTTATGTTCTCTGCTGCAGGTAACACTTTTCCTGCAACACAGACCAAAGGCTTTAGTGCTGACTCAGGGTAAAATCCTATGATGTGTGGTTTACCAGAACACAGTGCTAAAGTAGCTGATGGACACTTGCTAGGCATATGTGGAACTCATATTTCCTATAAGTAAACCACAATTATTTCCGTTTCCTTTTTATATTTACTTATTCACATTGTGATGATTCAGTGCTTTAATGGAGCTGTTTACAAAATCATATGGCAGTCAAATTAGGCCACAGATACTAGCTTAGTAGTAAGAGATTGGTGGCTAAGTATTCAGAGAAGAAAGGAAATACTGAATCTTGAAGTGAGTATGTATCTCCTGGAAACAATTGTAAACAAGAGAAAGAGGTTGTCATGAAGCTTATTGCATGGCATGTGTGGGTACATATTGTTCTAGTACTTTGCATTCTTCATATGACAGGATTTGGGGGAAAATAAGACTGAAGTAGGAAGTCAGGAAAGGTTTCTAAATGCCATGCCCTGCAGTGGTGGTTTTCTAGAGATACACTAGTTCTGTAAGCCAGGTGGTATGGTGAGATATGTTCAGGAGCATAGTTCTTTTTTTTCTTTTTTTAAAAACATTTATTTACTTATATGAGTACACTGTAGCTGTCTTCATACACACGAGAAGAGATTATCAGGTGGTTGTGAGCCACCTTGTGGTTGCTGGGAATTGAACTCAGGACCTCTGGAACTGCAGTGAGTGCTCTTAACCACTGAGCCATCTCTCCAGCCCATAGGAGTATAATTTTATTAGCAGACAAAGAAGATTAAGCTGCACTGTCTAGTAAAATTGCCATTGATGATATATTGCTACTTATATTTGCTAATTCAAGTTTAAACTCTCTATGCCATTATTTCTTTCCTTAGTCATATTTACTACATTTGCAATGCAGATGAATGTATGTTCATATTATATATTCAGCCCATTCCCGCCCCTTCAGGAAGTCTTGACTGGGAAGAGGATTGACATAGCTATAGTGCCAGAAATTTGGTGACTGGTTGACATGTCATACCTGATCTATGACATCAAAGTAAGAGGAAAGATAGAGAAGATGTTGTGGTAAAGAAAAGGGAAAGGGGCAAAAATGGGTTCTTTATTTGTGCTTTATCCAACTGGTGGATGCTTTCTCTACTGTCGTGCTTGCAGTGTTAGCTCAAAAATAGCTATTATTTTCCTGCTTTATTCACCCTACTGTCTTAAAGGGTAGCTTATCAGAACACTTAGCAAAAATTCTGGGTGATCTGCTCCACACTTATCTCTAACAGGATGATAGAACTCCAAGGTGAGGTAGTGGCCTTGCAGTATGAAGTTTAAAGGTGAAAGAGATCTAGGCTAGTGAACAATATCATAGCTGGCGAGGCATCCACAGGATTTGGTGACTGTGAGAGGCTAAAGGAGAAGTTGCAAGATAGACTACCAAATGAAGGAAGCCAAAGAAGATGGAGCAGCCAGGGGGAGAGGACACTGGAGTACACTATGGCTTGTTCACTAGCACACAATGTCACTTCTACTTTGTGTTTCCCACCTTAGCAGTATAGGTTCATGTTCCAAATGTGGGCTACCTATTCTCCTTCATCCTTCCTTCTCAAAGAGCTGTGGGCAGGAGACTCTGATTAATGATGTAGAAGAGGCTAATGCAGGTCCTGGCGCATAGTAAATAGCTAAACAATCAAGCAAGTTGTTTCAGTACAGTAGTATAGTGTGTCTTATTTATTTTGTAATGGAAAACAGACATTCTCTCCTTGAGATACAGTCATAGATGCATAGTAATTTTTAAATCTTAGACAAAAACAATGCACGCTGTTATTGTTTTACTGCAGTTACTCTGTAAACCCAGTTAATCTGTCGCTGGATGAAAAGTTATCTATGTTCATGCATTGGTACTGGGCATTTTTGATCATCACTCTTTGAAGATTTCTGTTGTACAAGAAACAAAATAAATACTACACCTTGATTTTTATTAGCCTGCATGTCAAGTTGAAAGCATGTATTGAATAAGATGCTATCTCCGCATGTTTGTTATCAGAAGTAGCAGCTTGATCTTTGACAGTTGTGATTAAATTTTCACTTCGAATATAAACCATTTGGTTTCCCGATAAGCCCGTGAATATGGAGTTCTTTATTTATTTGACAGGATAAAGCCAAGAAATATTTTAATCTGTTCAAACATGCTGAGTAATTATATGAATTTTATTGTTCTATATCTGAAATTCTCATTATATACAGTATATTTATTTATAAAAGTAAAACTATATGATTCTGGGCCTAGTAAATTAGTAAGATACTCTATAAGAAACCTTTTCAAATGTATTCTTCAATGACAATGCTGTTCCTGGTTTAGGTAAGAGTGTTATGCGTAACTTGCCTTGGTTGTTCAAAAGAATAAGATGTAGAATGTAAAGGAAGAACTGTTTGTTGCTCATGAAATTGTCCTAAAAGAGTAATGCTTTACACTTCAACTAAAGCTTAGTTGTAGGCCTTTTTTATATTCATATACTTTTTACATACACACAAGCACGCACGCACATGCGCACACACACACACACACACACACACATTATCTGTCCTGCTAATGATAAAAATATAAATCCATTTCCTTAGAAAACCATCATATAGATGGTAGATGCTTGTGTGACCAAAATCATGATTACCGGTAAAATTTCTATCCCTTTAGTGGTAAGAAGTTTTCCTTGCGAGAACTCACCAGCCTGGCCAAAATGTTTTATTTCTAATTAAATTATCATTCTAACTAGTGAATGAATTGAACTGATTATCAAAGTTGAGCATTACATTATACTATATAAGATAATTTTGACTTGTAAATTTAAGGAACAGATGGTTGAAATCTGCAAACAGTGGTTCTGACATGTGTTTAATAATGTTTACCAATATCTAATGAGATGTGTGATTTCTGAATAACACGTCCTAATCAATATTATAGGATGCTGTAGATTTTTGTTCTAGATTATTAAACTAAGTGACTTCCTACATTGAAGAAATTTTTGTTTTGTTTCATTTCTTGGAAAAATACACTTTTGATTCCACTTTATCCACTCTATCTCTTGTAGGGGATTTTCTCTTGTCTATGTGAAAACAGAAGAATGTTTACTGTCATGTTAAAATTACCAGAACAAGTATCATAATGTTCTGTAGGCCTGGGAGTGAGGAGTAAAGTGGCTGAAGGGCAGGCAAAGAAGAGTTAAGTTTTAGTTTCTTTTTCTAGTGCAGAATCTTCTACATGACCTTCTGGATACTTTCTTTCTTAGCTTAAGCTTTCCTAAAGTAAAAGAACGTCACTCAATCTGTGATGGGGATGATTTCAAAAGAAAGCATCCAATTTCCCTTTTCTTTAATGTCTATATCGACTGTAGTGAGCAGCCTTGAAAATTGTGAGCATCTCTCATTTAAGTCATGATTATTGATTTGCATCATGGAGAACCCTTTAAATATCACTAATGCTTTATTCTTTTCACCAGCTCCCCTAATTCAGAATGTTTTGTGTGGCATTTTATAATGGGATCCACAGGTGACAGTGATGCTCAGCCCACACTGGAATTCATTCTGTCTCTTCTGCAATGCTTATGTATTCCAAAGTGGGAAATCCCTGACTGATGGTCTGGGCGTAAATAACCAACCAACAAACAGGAGGAAAGGCAAACAAACCAACAGCAAAACAAAAACAAAAGGAAACAACTTAAGTCAAAGTGGTGGAAATAATCCCTAAAACTGCTGCTCTTCTTTCTTGCCAATCCAAGCACTCTGCTGAACATGGAGAGTGTAGAAGAGACTGTGAATTCCAGACAGAGTACAAGAAAAGCAAGGGCAGTGTCCTGAGTCATTGTGCAAAGCCTTGCCTCCCACAGGTAGCATTTCAGTCAACATAGAAGAGTTAGAGAGCTGTGGCCTAGCCCAGGCAGTTTGTGTTTTGCATATCTGTCCTAGTTACACTGGTTAGGACTCCAGATTTCTGTGTGTGAAATTGTGACTTTCATGTGTCACTTTTTCATTTCCTCTGAAGCTATTTTTAAGAAAGATCTCTGCCA